GCTCACCAGATGAAGCGACCGATACAGAGAATCACCGGACTTGGCATTGTTTTCAATCCTGGGCTTACGCTTTATTTTCCACAGGGCAGACATCATCAGAAATATATTCTCATGGTAATTCTACCACCTGACGTGTTCGGCACAGAAACAGAAGTTTCTTAAAATACTCCGAGCACACCGAACGCCTTCCCGCTCCCACAAGGGCATCCTCTCACAGACACAGCCCATGCCATCGGAACCTACAGCTGCATCTCCACAGAGGACGGACGGCGACAGTGCCAGCCCAGAGCAGCACCCACATCCCATCAGTGCCCTCTGCGAGGTGTCAAAGGCCAAACCGTGGACAAGAATTCATGCTTTGATTCCACCTGGCCAGTCAACAAAAGTCCCGAAAAGGGAGATCCAAAAGCAGCAAAAAAATAAATAAATAAGACAAAGCAGAAAAAGCCTCCCAGGATGCGAACGGCTCCACTCCTCGGACCAAGGTCAGCTGACTGGCCAGCATCCTGCACTGCACAGGAATATTAAACCCGCCCGGCTCAACTTCGAAGATGCCCCTTCCTCACCGAGTGGAGAGCAGGCGCTAAAAAGCAAAATGTTGCTTTTTTTTTTAAACAGTTTATATTTTCACCTTTTCCACTAATGCTTTTGTTACCCGTGCAGATATTTCTGAGACAATCACAATTTGGATTAAAAAGGGAAAGGAAAAAAATAAAAAAAAGGCTTTCAGAATGAAAATGATCTGAAAATTAGTCTAATAGATTTGCTAAATGGAAAACAAAATCACAGCTGCCAGAGGGCCTGGACCTCATCAGCATTCAGGTCTGAAGACAAAGTTTTAGATTAAAAGCAGGGAAACAAGTAGCCAGTGGGGAGGCGGCCCTTTGAGGTTTTCACCCAGTCACCAGAGGAAGGAGGTGGCTTACAAAGAGAAAGGCCGACAGACTGCTCCTGTGGTGTGCAAGCCCCACCCCCACCGTGGGATGTGACATTCCAGTGCCACCAGCGCCTGAGAACAAGCTCACAGTTAGCTACTTGCTGAACCCCAAAGGGCCAAGGGTAGCAAAAACTGCTATTTAAAAAAACCGAAACACATAAAATTCCAACACACACTCTCTTTATCCTGCCCAGTATCTCATAAAACAATTCATTTAGGAAGAACGGCAAAAATATTAAACAAAAAAACAAACAAACAAAAAAAATCAAGCGCTCTCAAATACTTAGCCAGAATAAATTACTTGTTTCATTACGTTCATTCCTTTGTTTATTATTGCATTTTTACACCGAGCCTGGTACATTCAAATGAAAGCTAAATCATCCTTCCGTGCTTAGGTAGCATACAGCTTAAAAATTATTTTTTACTTTATTTTCTAGAAAAATTACACACTGACAGAAGAGATGCATCAAAAAAAAAAAAAAATTTAACCTTGATATAGAAATTGAAGATCTGTACTTGCTCCTACTACTTTAAATTATTTTTTAAAAAGACACCGAAAGCTTACATATTAGGAAAATATCTAAATGGCTAGTGAGCATATATTTAATTGGCTTATAGCACCACTAACTAACTCCTTCCCTTTTTGAAACCTGATCTTTAACACCAGAACTTAACAATCCGGCTGAATGTAGTTTTAGCACAGCAATTATCAACACAAGGCCTGGTTTTGCCATCTCAGAGCTGTGTGACCTTCAGTGAGTACTTAACCTCTCTGTTGCAATACTGTCATCTATAAAATAGAGGGAATAATAGCATCTCTCCTTTAAGGGTCTTGTGAGGATGAGATGAGTTAATGTAAGACAGTAAATAAGTATTAGCTCTCATTTATTATCAATAATACACAGTAGGACTTGGTCTCCAAGAATCGTTTACTCAATTTAAGGTTTTTGCTTCCAAATATCCTAAGTGAGAAATTTAATTCATTTAGGCTATTTTAAAGAACTTAGGCTGCATGACAAAATAGTTCAAATAAAAAAAGATAAAATCTGAATCAAACCAAAACTAGGGAGTATCCTAGGGTACAAATCACACAGCGAAAAGGAATAGGAAACTATGGCTTCCATACAGTCCAGTATATGACCTTTAAAAATACTCAGATCATCACCCAAACTTGTTGTCAATCATTTTGAGGAAATTCTCTATTATGAGAGCTGAGAGCCCACCGTCCATTTCTATAGCGAAACCCAGGAACAGCACTGCCCGTTCCTACATCTGACCCTGTCTGTTCCAGGTGAGTTTTAGGACCCTGTTCTCTGGATAAGGAACCACGAAGTCAGAGAGACACCTGGGGTCAGTCAGCAAATCCGGGGCGGGGGTGGGGAAGCAGGTTTCCTTCCTCTCTTCTGACAGAATCTAGTATTATAGAGGGCCCTCTTTAGGACCTCATGACTCACTGTATTGAAAATGAAAACGACCTCAAAATCCACAGATGAGAACACTGGGCTATGAGAGTGAAGTAAAAATGACCCAACTTAAAAAATATTCAGAAATAAATGTTTTAGAAATAGGAAAAATGACTGTATTCCTAAATCAAACTAGAAATTGAGAATTAACATTTTTAGTTTCAAGAACAAAATAACTAAATGAATACTCTTCAAAACATCTTACCTCAGTAAGGAAATATCTGTTTCTCTTGAGAGCGACTGACTCTCCTTCCCTTCTAAAAGTAGTAAAAGTAAGGTATGGGCCTCAAAAATTAAAAGTAACTTAAGCAAGTGTTTTGGTTTTGTTTTTTGTTTTTTTGTTTTTGTTTTTGTTTTTTTTTACTTTAAACGAAACATGTTTATGTCCATTCATCTGTGTTTTATTTAATAAGCAATAACATAAAACCTTTGAGCCTGTAAATATTACATTTACAAATATTAAAATTACTTTCAAATGTGAAATTTTATAGTGTGCTCGACTTAAAAAGGACACTGAGAATGATTCTATGATGGTGAAAAAGAAACACTTATGGGTAAAAGAGATGCTGAAGAGAGTCATACACATACACTCAAAAAACTCCTACAGAGATGTATAAATACAGAGACATAAAAAGAACACACGGAGAAGTGTAGGTTTTTAAAATAATGGTTCATATTTGAATAGTATGTTTCCATTATCAGTGTGTTCTCCCACAATTATTTGACCCACTCAATCATCCAATCCGGGTTGGGCTAAGGCAAGAATCATCCTGATATTGAAGATGGAAAAACAAAGGTATACTTTAAAGTGAAATGATTTGCCCCGGTTAAGTGACTAGTAATTGTCAAACAAAAGAATGAGAGAAATGGAGAAGGATCGACATAAATATGTCAACATTATAAAACAGATGACTATAGAAACAATCTCACACAATTGCATTTGCTGGGGAGGGGTCTTTAGGCATAAGTAACACAAAGTTTTTAAACTGTACTTTGGAAACTGTGATAAGATGAAGAATTGTCCTACAGAACTCTTCAGGAAGATGGATAAAGGCATGATCGACGTTTTATGGAAAACAAGTTCACCGTCTTGCACCAGAGTCAGAATGAGAACTTTCTCACAGAACTCAACCAACCAAGGAACATTCTATTTGGATTAATAAAAATAGTGTTTCCTTCCCTGTACTGTAAAAGATGCTCACTTTTTATAAGAGCTGAACACAGATCACGCAAAAGTTCATCAGAGGAACCATGAATAAATAACAAGACCGTCTAAGTGACTCAATCGCACTCATATTGGATGCTGTTTCATCAGACACGAATAGAGATGTGAGAAGGAAACAGGATGAAATTAGACTTTAGTTCATTAAGAGTGATTTCTGCCCTATATTTTCACGTAGGGGTTTATTATCAAGGCTGTAATTTGGATTCCATATCTTATTTAGCAACATCTCAGAAGTAAAAACACTTGATCCCGTGGAGAGGACTTCTAACCACATAGAGCTGCAGAGGCGGCATGCCAGCTGGGACTCTTCCGCGGTTCAGACCTGGGATGTGAAAATGAAAATCTCTCACCTTGCTGCTGTGATCAGTCTCATCTGAGGACTCCAAGTCTGGCCCTTCAGCTTCCTCTGGGGCAGTCTCAGCACTGCTGCCCTGCTCACTGCAGAGGCCGTGCCCTGCAAGAGAAAATCAGAAGAAATCATGGGTTGACGTGAATAGCCAATGCTAAAAGTCACACCTGTGTTAGCGGGGTATAGGGTCAAGCTCCCGACGTCTCAGTCTAGTGCAACGTCCTCTAGGTACAAGCTCCACGATCTTGGCTCACTCGATGTTAGTTTTTGTTGTTTTTATTGTCAATATTATTATTTTATAGCATAATGTATTTTTATTATTTAGAATATATAATCACAGTTATGGTAACCCCCGCAAATTCATACGTCGAAGCCCTCACCTCTCAATGTTTTGGAGATGGACCAGGTACACAAACATTCAGTCCCTAACCTCTGTGAGGTCTGTTTTTGCCAAGTCTGGCAAACCGTAAACGTAATACCATATTCCCACAATTTCTACCATAATCTATGGAAAGGTGAAGGAAAGGAGGGTTAAAATCACTTTCCTCTGGAGGGCTTCCCAAATTTAAAGGGCATTTGATCCGCCCCGCCAGGGAATCATGTTATGCAGATTCACATTCAAGGGGCTTGGGGTGGGGTCTAAAGTTCTGCATTTCTCACAAGCTCCAAGATGATACTAATCCCTGCTGCCAGTCTAGGGACCACGTCTGGAGCAGCAAGGCTCTGGGCCATTTAAAAACCTCCGGCTAGCCTGAGAAGACAGTGGTAATCAAACCTGTCTGGCACAGGATCAGAGACTACAGCACTGTCACTATAAGCAGACAAGAAAGGAGGAAGGAAGGAAGGGGGTGCAGGGAGGTGGGGGGACATGGAGGAGAGAAATGAGAATGGAAGGAGCCACCTTCAGACTCTTTGGATGAAAACCTCAGTCTGCAAAGAGGCTGCCTTACTCCAACGACACCATGATAGCCACAAGCCGCTTGTCACTACTTTCTGTCTCAGGTTTTAAGTTGGCTGAGAAACTACAGGAGGAAGCCGACCTCTGAGAAATCTTTGCTCCAAAGCTGCGTCCTCTGGTTCCCTTCCTCTCCTCTGGAATGAAGCACCGATGAAGTGAACGCACCTCATGTGGCTGGGAAGTTTGTCTGTTGCCCATCCCCCCACCCCACCCCCTGCTCTGGCTCTAGGATTTTCCTGCATTTCTTTTAATTACTCGTTTGCTCTATAACATGATGGTAGAGGTCAAAGAAAGGAGCTCAGTCAACTTGATGGACATCAACTATGTCACACTGTCACCTCCGTGGGAAAAAAATTCGATTGAATACTTTATTCGTGGCAATACTTAGGTGCTGGAGCCAGAATGAAGGGGAAAAGCTGATCGCCAACGTAGAGAGGCTAACAAGCTCGTTTACGCTAACAGCACTAACCTGTGAAGTTGCGGGAACCACGGCTCACTCAGCTCTGACCGGGGCGCCCTTCGCACTGTAGTCTGCAGAATGGGACCCCCAGACTGTACAGCCAAAGGTTGTGACCCCACGTATCCCCGCTAGGGAACATAATGCCCGGGGCGGGCAGCTGACGGTCGCAAAACAGTAGGGAAACAAATCGAAGGATTTTCATTGTTAATGATACTGTGGGCTAGGTATCCTGAAAAGCAAGAAAATAAACCCTCCCTCTACCAAACACTTAGAAATGCTAAATTAAATATAACAAAATCCATTTTAAGTTTAAAGCTGAACTCCGAGAAATCCCCAGAGCCCAAAGGAAGAAGATAAAGAAAGATAAAGTAATGAGCCAGTCCCGGTGCTGAGAAAACCCATCAGATATAAATCAGGCACTGGATCAGTACCAACTGGAGAGTAAGAACTATGAGAGAGAGAGAGAGAGACAGACAGACAGACAGACAGACAGAGAGTGAAGAGGAAGCTGACCAAGAATTATGCTATACCATGGGATAGGAGAGTGGGGAAGGAAGAAGGAGGGTCCTTCCCTGAGCTTAGAACCATGGGCTGGCCTCGTGGGTGGACGGGATTCAAACTGAACCCGTGAAACTCCAATGTCGTAGTCAGCTCAGGCTGCTGTAACGAAATACCATAAACTGGGTTGCTTAAGCCGTTCATCTTTTTCCCTCAGCTCTGGAGGCTGGAACTCAAAGATCAAGGTGCTGGCAGATTGTTTTCTTGGTGAGGGCTCTTTTCCAGGCTTGGACAAGGCCACCACCTTGTTATGCACCCACGTGACCCCTTCTTCGTGTGTGCAAGGGAAGAGTGAGCAAGCTCTGGTCTTTCTTCCTCTTCTTATAAGGACATTAATGTCATTATGAAAGCTCCGCTCTTAGAACTTCATCTAAACCTAATCACCTCCCAAAGGGCCCAGCTCCTAATGACAATCATATCACGGGTTAGGGTTTCAACATATGAATTTTGCTGGGACACAAACATTCAGTCCATGACACTCAAGATGAAAAACCGCCCTAAAGTTGTTCTAAATTCGTATTTCAAGGGCATCTGGCAAAAGCAAAAACCAATCTACTCTGCAGGGATTCATCCTTAATGATGGTGTCACATGACGCCCAGAGGATAAAGCTTGGTCAAACAAGAATCCATAATCCATTAGTATAAAACACGGGAAAAATCAAGTCCCCATGAGTGAGAAGCAGCGACACAACAGGCAGCAGAATCAGATTCCCAAGGAATGGGAACACAATGATCAGTCAAATAAGTGAGCTAAAGGTATTAAAAAAAAAAAAAAAAAGACCAAGAAAAGAGTACTTTCAATCAAGGAATGGGAACACGATGATCAGTCAAATAAGTGAACTAAAGGTATTAAAAAAAAAAAAAAAGACCAAGAAAAGAGTACTTTCAAAAAAACTAGAGGAATGAGTAGAATTTTTAAAAATGAGAACTATAACCACTGACATTAATCACTCAATGGTTAAGAATAAAGGCCGAAGAAAGACCAGGAGATCTATCTGAAGACATCACCTCACTACAGCACAGAAATCTTCGAATGCCGAAATCATCAATATAGAATTGTATTTCCACCTAAAATATGAATCAAGGAGAATGCAATAAAAACACTTGAGAAATAAAGAGTAAGAAAGTTCACTGCAAAGAGAACCTCACTAAAAAATTCTCTAAAGGATGCACGTCAGGTGGGAAGATGCACACACACACACACACACACACACACACACACACAATCGGATGAAATCACAGAGCTAATATAAACACAGGTGATTCTAAGCATATAAAATAACACCCGAAAAGGCATGTCCCAAAAAGGCATTTGAGAGGGACAGAGTATAAGACGCAGCAAAGACACTATTGTAGGAGTGATTATATTTAAAGTCCTTGAGGCTTCAAGAGAGAAATAAAAAGACTAACTTTGGTCTCTGCTATGTTAGAAATCCCATTAAAATGTTAAGGACAACCGCTAAATGAACAGAATTAGATTACATCAGTTGTGAGCGGGGAGTAGAATTTAGAAATTTAACCCAAAAGAGGACAGGAAAGGAAAAAGCAGCAAGACAAAGACAGCAAAATAAGATGACAGAAACAAGTCCAAATATATGGATCTCCTATGTAACTGTAAAATAGACTGAACTTAACACTTAACTTCACATTTAGATTTTTTAAAAAAAGCAATATAAAATAAAGCCCACCCACCTACATGCGACTTGAGCAAGAAATAGACCTAAACATAAAGATGCAGAAGGCGAGAAGTAAAGAGATGGAAAAATATATGAGGCAAATGTAAAGAAAGCCATAAAAATGTCAGACAAAAAAAGATTTGGTCGGGATATAGAAGATGTAAACATCGAGAATTATTAACCTTGACCCACGAATGTATTTCAAACCCTATTCACGAGCATTTGTAAATGCACATTTCCCCCCAAAGATTAGCAATTTATGCAAGCAGGCCACAAATCAGGCCACAATGTAAGTCTCAAAAAATACCAGAGAATCTGTATTCAGAGAGACCACGCAAGAGAGCAATAGGCCAGTAACACCAAAGACAGTTTTAGAAAAGAAAAACGAGATTGGGGTACTTTGCCTACCAGATATCAAAATGTATTACGAAGTTACAGTAATATAAAAAGTGCAGAATTAGCAAGGAGATAGGCTAACAGAACAGAGAGCCCAGAAACAGCTCCACCCATACAGAAGTGTGATCTACAGCAGACGTTTCATTGTGTATCCGGGGGAAAGAATGGAGCGTTTGATAAACGCTGCCAGGACAGTAGATTATCCACATGGAAAAACATAAAGTTGGGCCCTAGCTCACACCATTCATAAAAACCAGTACCAGGGAGGTAGGTATCAGCCAGAATGTGATTAGCCCAATATAAACCTTTCAGAAGAAAATATAGAAGGCGGTGTTTGCTATCAGGGGGGAGAAGAATTTCTGAAACAAGATATAAAAAGCACAAACCATATGAGATAGAAAATCAGATTTTACAAAAATTAAAACTTTTTTGTTTTTTTTTTGTCAAAAGGCACCAAGTCCATTGGGACTTAAATTTAAAGGAGGAAGAAAAAAGTCTTTGTCTTATGAGATATATTAACAAAGTGTTAAAAAAAAAGAAAAGGCAGATTCTCCAATTCGAACCAAAGAGGAACCAATTATGACATTGATTTTTTTTTTTAAAGATCCTTATTAACAGCTAAGTTTAAATCTCTGCAAGGAAAAAAAATGACGGAGGGGAAGGGGGCAGGAAAAGTTAGACACTGTCAAAAAAGACATTTGGCTGCAATTTAATCGTTAGGCTAATTGTATTTTGCTTTTCGGTCATTTTACTGTTATATGAGAATTCCATAGAAATACTGTTCTTGAAAAATATAAAAATGGAGGATCTCGATCTCTGAAACAGTATTTTTTTCCCCACACAGGATTTGATGGGTGTCATCAGTCAAATCCAGCTGGGAATCAAGGCGAGGCGTTCAGATCTCCCCAGAAGAGCCATGTGCTGTGTGACAATAAGCATCGCACACAGTTTACAAAACGCACATGGCTCCGGATTTTATCGACAAACAAATAGAAGACCACGTGCCCCTGGTATCTGTGAAACTTCGAAGAATCCGAAGAACTAGAGCATATTTGTT